GAATTGCGGCATTCCCATCGCTTGTTGAACTCAGCCTTGAGAAAGGCGAGGAGCTTCTTGTTCTTGGAGAAGAACAGTGCATCATCCACATAGACTATTATGACGGCTATGCTGCCATCAGAGTCCTTGTAGAAGAACACGCCCGCATCCGATGTAAGTCGGATCCAGCCCATGGCTTTCGTGGACTTGGTCAGCGCTTTCCACCATGCTAAAGCAGCTTGTTTGAGTCCATAGATTGCCTTGTGCAAGCGCATGACTTTGCGCTCTTGGCCTCTCGCCACAAAGCCTTCGGGTTGTTCCATGTAGACCTCTTCGTCAAGCTCTCCGTAGAGAAAAGCCTTACTGACATCGAGTCCAGACCAATGCCAATCATTGAGCGCTGCAAGCGCCATGACCAACCGGAACGTCTCATACCTGACAACAGGAGAGAATATCTTGTCATAGTCAACTCCTTCGACTTGACTGAAACCCTTGGCAACTAGGCAGGCACGTTTTCGGCCATCAGATTTTTGGTCAAAGACCCAGCGACATCTGATAACCTTCCGTCCTTTCGGGCGGTCCACAAGGGAATAGACCTTGCGCTGACGAAGTGCCTCTAACTCGTCACGGCAAGCATCAATCCAACCTTTCTGTTGTTCAGAAGGCAACCGCTTGATATCGCGGAACGTCCAATCGCGAATTTTGGACGTATCAGGTAGGTTCTCATTTGGAACTGCTTTTGACAGCAGCGCCGTGATGAGCTCTACTCCCCCTTCCCGGCATAGCTTCTCCATGCGTGCATCCTCGTCTAGATCATCAGAAGCACCCGCGTTTGAGGAATCTGGTTGCGAGCTAGGGCCGGGAACCCCTGCATCAGCACCGGTTGATGGTTGAGATTGGGAGCTACCCTTATCTTCACCAACATACCGCTTCCATCCTCTGCTGTTCTGAATGTCACGGACTATATCCGTAGGGGTACGCTTTTCCCCATAGACGTTTCCTGGACGTGTAGGCACATTCCGCTGGCGTGAAGACCTTCGAGGCTCAGGAGCTGGTGAAGCTTCCCGACTTGGTCGTGGAATTTTACTTCTACGAGTCCTCTGAGGTTCATCCCAACGCTCTGGCGGTGGGTCCTGACGATTATGACCGTCGTCACCATCATCATTTCCCTGTACGGGAGGTGGTGGAGCCGGATCAGATGGCATGGGAAATGGAAAAGGATTATCTCCATATAGCCAATCTTCTCCGTCTACCTGTGGTGGATCTTGTGGATTCACTGGGTCATCACGTTCTGGAAATTCCTCTCCAACAGGAACGTGGGGTGTTCGATTGCTGTCAGGACAGCGGGGGAACAACTCCTCGTCGAACAATGCCTTGGTGGCGACGAACGTGGAATTGTTTGTGCGCATGAACAAAAATCCTTTCACACCATCAGGAATGCCCAAGTAGGTCATCAGCTCCGATTTGGGCAATAACTTGTTGGCGCGCTTCTCATCAGGGATAAAGACATATGCAGCGCAACCAAAGACTCGGAGTTCGGAAACATCCGGTTTTTCCTTGTGAAGAGCTTCAAATGGAGTTTTCCATTTTAGACGCCTGATAGGTGTCATATTGTAGATCCGTGTCGCATGTTTGATAGCGAATTCCCAATAAGAATTAGGAAGACAGGCAGTGAAGCGCATGGCTTCTGCCTTATCCATGATCGTACGATTGAAGCGCTCGGCATGCCCATTCTGCTGGTGAGCATATGGAGCACCCTTCTCCACTAGAATTCCTTGTTCTGCGAGAAATTCTTCCATTCCCATCCCCATGAATTCTCCCCCATTGTCAATATGCCACTTTTTGATGGTGACATTGAACTGGTTCTTGACCATCGCAATGAAATTGCGCATAGCCTGCTTGGCATCGGATTTCTGCGCAAGGCATACTGTCCAGCCATAGGAGAGTGCTTCGTCGAAGAAGCTCATGAAGTAGCGGTACTTGTGATAAGACACCGTGGGAAATTGTTTGAGATCCGAGTGGATCAAATCAAACGGATTCTCCGCTCGTTTTTCGGAAGGCGGGAAGGCACGTTGGTGCATTTTCCCTTGCGCGCATCCTTTACACGGTCGGGTTTCCTCGGGAAATACTAGGTCTTCTGGAAAGCCCTTGGTATTCTTCTTTGCCTGACGTAAAACGTCTTTCGACGGATGTGCAAATCGCCGGTGCATGATCTCATAATCCACCTTGTAAACAGTGGACATGGATCGCACTGTCTCAGCCGTACTAGGCTTTGACATCAGGAAGTACAATGCAATGTCCTTCCCTAGAGTTCTAAACTCCATGATCGAGAGTGGGGACTTCCCTCGATGTAAGCTGATCCGCGATTCGTCTCCACGAACGCGAGATCCTCCTTTGAGTAAGGAGCCCAAAGACATGAGACGACCATGTAATCCTGGCACTAGGTACACTGGATATATCTGAGAAGTCACCATTGTCTTTTCTCCATGCCTTGTGACGTAATGATCGATAAAGGCTGTTCCTCGACCAATAAGGGCAACACGTGTGTTCTTATCAGCGGTCTGAGCAACAATAGGATCTGAGAGCTTCTCATATCCGACCAGATCACTAATCTCCGATGTCACATGGAGAGATGCACCTGAATCAAGAAGCCATAGAGGCCCTAATTCATGATGATGATGATGTTTCCCCTTACACTTAGAGCAGGCAGCAAAATCGGAGTGCACACAGAATAGATTGGTACAAAAATCATGCGAACGTATCATCAACGAATTTAGTACAGAACCCGGGGCGGCGGTGATTACGCGCTCTGGCTGTGAGCAACAATCAGAATTGTGCATGTGCCCAAGAAGGCAGGGTACTTGCCTTTCGGCGGAAGGAGCGTCCATCTCCTCCAGAAGGGTGTTGAAGTCAACGACTTCATCCCAATTGACCGGTTCAGCCTGGGCGCACTCGCTATCTCCAAACAGAAGATCAAGATCGTTCTGTTGGCCGGTGGCCATCTCGACGTCGGGGATCTCCTCGATACGACTGCGTTTGGCAGGAGGACCATCATCCAGCGTGTGATTCGAGCCGGAAGCAACCGGAGATGGAGAACGCATGATTGCGTCCTCGCGGAGCATTCCTTTCTCATTGACGATCTTGTCGAGAGTCCGGAAGCGTTCTGCGGTCACCGTCACATCCATCTTTTTGGCCAGCTCGAAGACCTTACGAGTAGGCTTCTGAAACTCGGTGTCAATAATCCCATTGTTGTTAACGGGAGACTTCTCTTGAACCGCGCGGATTTTGGGTCCATCGCGAGAGATGTGCGTGACATGCGAGATCGTCGGCGCAGGGATAGACGGAGTGAGCGAGGCGATCGAACCGATAGTGAGGGAGCCAGTGATCTCGGAGACTCCATGGACATGACTGTGATCAGCCTTGCCCTTGCCCTTGTTGTCCTTGTTCTTCCCACTGCGCTTGCCTCGACGGTTCTTCTTCTTTCCATCAGCCTTATCACCCTTATCGGGTGCAGAGCCAGAGCCCTGTTGCTGATTGGTGAATGAAGGGTCATCGCGCTTGCGCTTGGTATTGAACTTGGCCACATGATTCTGGCTTTGAGACTGCTTCTGAGCGAAATGCGTCAAGAGAGCGTCACGAACCGCCGAGACTTTGATCTCGTCCTTTTCATAGGTCTGGAGAACAGTCTCTGTGACGGAGGGAATCCGGGCTATGTTGAGAATGATCATCGCTCTGAGGAACTCAGGGATGCTCAAAGACTCATTCTCCAGGCGAGCGAACGCCGTAGTGATCACCAGCAGCTGTGGATCCGGGTGCAACCCCACGTTGTACTTGGCGTTCAACGCGGTTTGGAAGTACGCGTACAGGTCGGCGCACTGAGCACCACCGTATTGGGTCTTCAGGTGCTCCCAGATCTTGGCAGCTGACACTATGTTGGCGGTTGGAATGTTGGCAATGACTCCCTCAGTCAGGCGCAACTTAATGCTGCCCTTTGCCCTGAGATCATCATGCTTCCATTGCTTGATCTCCGATGCGTTGGTCACAGAGCCATCCGTAGCCTTGACTTCGGTTGGCGCGGTCTCGGTCAGCACGTATGAGATCCCCTGATGCTCCAGATAGGACTCCATAGTTCCGGACCATACGAGCCAGTGCTTTCCATCAAAGATGGAGACAGCATTGAAGATGTTGTTGGAGTTGGACGACATGTTGATCTGTGTGAGTGATCAGCATCAATCTAATCTGATAGATAAAATCAAAGATAAAGATGATCAGATCCTCATAGATCATAATCTCCTTCAGAGATCGATGCATCTGGATCAAGCGATGTAATCGCGATCCGGCATGGTTTCACCAGCGCTATGCAGCAGCTGAAGTGAATACAGATAGGCTAAAGACGCTGCTCATCGTTGCAGCCAGTGACGGCGCATACAATGAATGTCGCGGCCATTGAGGCGCAGACATAGCTCTCGGGGCCCATAACCTGTTGAGCACTGGGGAGAGCGTCTAGCAGCTCACCTGTGTGAGTGAGAGCTTAGTGTGGGCACTATGCAGGAGTAGTCAAGAGACTTGGATTATAGGGTAATAGAGCCCTCCTTATATACAATACAGGGGGCTATTTGTGTCTATTTAGGACGAGTCGACATGACTCTAGATGACACGTGATGGAGTCATAAGATGTGTATCACGACATCCATCTGGCAGACGATAAGATCATCATTTGATCAACACAAATCCAGCCACGTGCGCTTGCCATCAGTACAAAGAAACTTGCAGAGCACAGCTACAACTACTACTACAATCAGAGGAAGGGAACAGCTGGCTATCCGAGAGTGCTATCAGAGGAACAGGTGGATCAGGCTGTGGAAAAGCTGGAGAGCGGGGAATTGGTGGATGGGGAGCAGATCTATCAACAGCTCTTTCTGACAGTGGCCAGAAGAACAGTATGTTATAATTGCTATCCTTGGTGTTTTCTGACCTCTCTCAGATTCGAAAAACCCTTTCACACTGCAGGTACAAGGCCTATGTGCAACAGCACAAGTTACCACTCTACCCTCAACATATTGCAGCCCGGGAAACTCTGTTTTGCAGGTTCTCAACTCGGACAAACTCTACAATCTTCCAGACTGGTGTTGTCATCTTCAGTGACAAGAGCAAGGTCATGCTTGGGAGCTCAGATGGTCATTGGTGGTGATATTGTTGTCATGGTGAGGGTGTCCTCAAGCTGCCTCGGGTTCAGATGGAGGAAAGACATGGTTAAAGAAACTTTAAGATCAATGTTTGGGGTGCCATTGGCCCACATGGTGCCAGCTGTCATAGTTCAGCCACTTTTTCATCTTATCATCAACAATCTTATCTTATCTTGGCATGGGTTATCTTATTGCGGATCACGGCATCTGACGGTCCGGGCTAGAGGTCCGGGGGATTATCTTTACTGATTCAAGGCTGCACGACATATGCTCTGGAAGGTTCTACTGCAACCCATGACCAGCGCTCCATGTGGTACATAGCCTTATGACTCATTAGTTGTAGATATGACTCAGACTGGATTTGGGTATAAATACTGTAGCTACCTGGTTATATTCTCCAGTCTTTGAATTCACTTCTCTTTTCAACTTTGTTTTTGGGTTGATTGTCACACCAGTGAATTGATTCTTGTTGAGGGAAACCTCAATGCTGATCAGTACCAGGATATCCTTTGGTGGGGTCTCCTCCCTGTTTATGACTACTACTGTTCTGTTCCTTATGTATTCCTCTACTTCTAGCAGGACAACGACCCAAGCACAATGTCAAGGCCACAAAGGAGTGGCTGAAAGACAATGGCATCAACCTTGTTGGGGAAAATAGGTCAAGGGGGTCGATTAGGTAATGGTAGAATAAGTTTGCAATAGCAAGATAAGATGAATAGAATTGCTTTAGGGCAAACTGATGCCCTTTAGACTACATACCGGCCTAGTTATATACTAGTAATGTAAGTAATCTAGAATATTCTACTATTTACCGGCATATGACTAAATGCGGTTATATAATGATCTGGAATATTCCGGGACAGCCGAGCTGCATCCCAGGGATTCTACTTAAATCCAACAAACCTCCTCCCCTAGCCAGCCAAATCCCCTGATCTTTCTATTATTGAGAATGCATGGGCTAAGCTCAAGCGACAGATCTACTTTCACCCTCAATATGCAACCATTAGCAATACTCCAGAGCTCTTTTGCATTGCCTGTAAGATCTGGTGAAATGCTGAGGGCGCGCTCACAGGTGAATCTACTATGAAGAAAACCCAAATATAAACACATTCACACTCCTTGTAATCAGCTTCTCAGTGTGTGAAAGATGTGAGGGCTTTGGGGTGGACAGAACACCAGTATCACGACTCTCAATAAATGCAGATCCAATAGTCGCAGAAGACGAAGTCAACAACAAGAATATATATATATATAGCAAAACAATGGTGTCTCAACCAATATCTTCTATACAGCCAAATCTAACACTAATCCAACCACAACCAACAATATCACAAGTCAGAGCTTAATACAAAGTATTAAGATCCCTTGTAGCGACAGCATCCAGATAGTGACGCAAAGCCCAAATACTGAGTCAACGCACTGCCAACTAGTAAAACCAAAATGCCACGTCAACGCACTGCCAACTAACAGCCAATATCTGTAAGGGCAACCTCGAGACCCGATCTCAGAGTTCTGGCAAGGGAGAATCCAAAGTGTCAATAGTGGTAGCTAGGTACAAGACCGGCATACCTGGCAAGGGAGAATCCAAAGAGAAACCGTGTTGGGGATTCTCCTTGCCAGGCGCCACTATTTATATGATACAAGAACAATAGAGCGCGCAGCGACAAACAAAGAACAATGGGAACAATAAGTACAATGGCCATTGGAGAACAATAGGAAACTGTGACAATCAACTCAAAAACAAAGTCGAAAAGAGAAGTGAATTCAAAGACTGGAGAATACAACCAAGTAGCTACAGTATTTATACCCAAATCCAGTCTGAGTCATATCTACAACTAATGAGTCACAAGGCTATGTACCGCATGGAGCACTGGTCATGGGTTGTAGTAGAACCTTCTGGAGCATATGTCGCGCAGCCTCGAATCGATGAAGATAATCCCTGGAACCCCTAGTCCGGACCGTCGGATGCCGTGATCCGTGATAAGATAATTCGCACCTCAGGTGCATCTGTCACAGATGACACCCCCCCCTCTAAGGCCCTCGGAAGTGGTCAAAATCGGGGCCTAACAGGCCCCACTATTCCCAGATGGGTCTGCAGCTCCCGGCCATTGTAGAGGCCTGTCAAGCCATCAATTGCAATCACTGTATTGCCTACCCATCTGCACGGGCCAATGTTTTTGACAATCTCCGTCATTTGCATGGCCTGTTCAGGAATATATTGCAATTGTTTCTGTGTCATGTACATGCAATATATAAGCTTTTTTGCCTACTTATCAGCATAGGACAATGTTTTTGACAATCTCCATCATTTGCAAATGAATCTGTATTGCGTACATACATTATATAAGCTTGTATTGCCTACCCATTGCCATAGGATAGTGTTTTTGACAATCTCCGTGATTTGTGTGGACTCTTCAGGGATAAATTTTGATTAATTATATATTATGTACATGCAATACATAAGCTATCACTCTGTCTAGGATGTTGTTGCAAGCATCTAACCCAGTACGCAGTGGCATCTGTATGCCAGCATTTACTATCAGCTCTTTGAATCATATCCTAGAATCAAAGGCAACACAGTAGCCATTGAAAAGGCAGCAACAGGAACCTATTACATCGAAGAATGTGTGTAAAGGCTAGATGTGAATCAAGATAATGTAGGTATGTATATACAAATGTCATGCAGCAGTCCATAGATACAACATCAAAACGAAATGCACCCTACTTGAACAGTCCCTGGTCCTCGAGCCTCTTGCGCTGCTCCGGGGTCATCCCCTTGAGAAGGTTGATGAGCTGAGCGGCGCCATCAGCATCCTCTGGACTGACATCTGCCAGCGGTGCATGATGCGGTGCCGCAGATGCTCTCGTCGGCGGAGGCATCTGCGGTGGAGCTGGGTGGAAGGAGTCCTCGGATGGACTGTACTCAGACCTATAGCCCGGAGGGCCAGACGGCAGGGGATATCCACGAGGAGGATACCCGCGTTCATACTGATCGTATCCCCGACCAGGTCCACGCTCATACCCACGCTCATACCCCCGATCATACCCCCCACGCTCATACCCCCCACGATCATAACCTCCATATCCCCCGTATCCCCCATAACCTCCATATCCATCGTATCCACCGTACTGAGGGCGACGAGAATCGTAGTCGCTGTCGTAGGGGCGGGGGTAGTCGAATTGGTCACGGTAGGATGCATCTGCAGACGCATTCCACCTGGAATTCGATGACCCAGCCTCAGATGGAGGACGAGACGCTTGTCGGGAGGGTCCAGCCTCAGGCTGGGGCAGATGTCGAGGTGCGAGGTGAGAAGGACCAGCCTCAGGTTGACGGTCTTGATGACGCAGATGGGAATGTCGATGCATCTGTGGTGATGCTGGAGTGAGCCACTGACCCTGGTTGGGTCCATGGTGGATCGATCCGATGTGTTCCCCTCGATGGACATCAAAGACGGAGCCAACCCGCTCACTACCAGAAGGAGCACGAGCCACAGTCTGGTAGTAGTCACCACCATCATTGGGCATCTGCAACTCCCTCCGCAGATGTGCACTTTCGGCCTTCAAACGTGCAGTCGTGACCTTGAGGTGCTCGTTCTGAGCACGCTGCTCCTCGATCTGAGCACGCTCCTCTGCAGGCGTCCGGTGCGGCGGCTTGGGGTTGAAGGGCTCGGCGTTGTCAGGCCCAGGCAGATCCACATCATCAACGTCCTCTGACTCAGGACCGTCTTGCTGATGGATCTCTACCACCGGTCGACCTCCTCCACCTTGCTGCTTCGAGGACTTGCTGGTCCTTGGGGTCGCCTTCACCTTTGGCTTGGGCTTGGGGCGTTCCAGCTTGGCGGGGGGAGGGGAAGTGTTTGCAGCGGCAGCGGCAGGCTTTGCCTTGGCACCAGTACTGAGCTTCGCTTTGGCAGCAGCAGCAGACGCACGTCTTGGCCGTGGAGAAGGGACCGGAGGCTCTGGGAGCTCCTCCTCTGCACGCTCCTCAGCATCCGAGGTGATGACCGGGGCAGAGATGAAGCGCTGCTTCTTTTTCGGTCGCGCAGATGCATCCATGGGCGGCTCTGGTTCATGGACAGGCGGCTGTGGGGAAGCAGAGACATCTGCAGCGGGCTCGAGGTTGTTGGAGGGAGTGGCTGGAGAAGTGGTGGCAGCGGCAGCTGCAGCAGCGGTATGGGAGCGATGAACACGAGATGAGTGTACAACATCTGCGTGTCGCTCGGCGTCCAGCTCCTCCGAATCCTCAGACTCAGCAGACTCCTCCTCGTCGTCCGAAACGCGCTTGCGCTTCCCGCTCACCGCCTTCGTCGACTTCTTTCCCTTCTTCACCTTCTCCTCTGCCTTCTCCTTCTTCACCCTCTCCTTCTCCATCTTCACCTTCTCCCTTGCTGCCTTCGTCTGCGCCCGGGTCCTCTTCTTTGCTGCCTTCGAGTCCAACTCCTCGATGTAGCCGACGCCGGAGCCAGCAAGCCGGAACATTTCATTGGGGTCACCGCTTTCCTTGGTGTGGAATGGCATTTTCTCCATGATTGGGCCCTTCGAGTGGTTGAAGTCGAGGACAGCAAGGATGGGGGTACCGTTGGCAAGCTCGCAGGGAACAAACTCCCCAAGTGAGGTGGTAGCGTAGGCAAGCAGTTCCTCCTCGGATGCATCTGCAGCAGGCTTGCGGCGGCGGTCGATCGAGGCAATAGCAATATCATCTGCAGATAATGAGTCAAGGTGCGGACAGATGTATCAGCTTCACGACTTACCTGCCTTCAGCTCACACCGCTCAAAGAACAACCCAAAGCAATGGTCGTTGACGTCCGAGCTGTACCGCGGCTCCATCACCTGGTCGAACTCCTCGATTGAGCCCATCTCAATCTGCCCAGTTCCCCGTCCTCCGCTGATCTTGCATGACTGCTCCTTGTTCGGAGTCCGAGTCCCAGCTGGCCAGTTCCTGCAGCGAGCACCGAGGCGCAGGCAGAAACTGGCCAACTCTTTCCAACGAACCTTCGACGATGATCCCATGAGGGAGAAGTGGAGGTCGAAGAAGGCGAGGCTGACCAGATTGATCCGCCAAGCCAGTCTGCGCTCGATTGCGGGAGCTCGAGCCAAATCCTTTTCGACCTTGGCGGCGTTCTCGTCGGGCTGGATGGGCTGCACGTGAAGGTCGCGAATGGGATCTGGTCCCTTGTGAACGGGAATCCGGACGCCGTTTGGGAGAACCCGGTATCCCGCCCGGTAGTCTGGGAAGTCGAGCCCAGTGGCTAGCACAAGCGGGATGCCTCCAGTGCCATCGGGGACACCTGAAACAGGACCAGCGCCAACATCCGGCTCTTTGTCGGCAGGGTAGGATGGGAGCAACGAGAGGTTGGCTCCATCGTCCTCTGTGGTGGACGGCGGGAATGGGGGAGGAGGGCGAAGTCTTGGAACAGATGGATCTGCGAGAGGATCAGGGCGGACAGAGACGTTTGCCACACTGACAGAAGTTAGCCTTGTTATCCTCGAATACACAATGAATACTCACCTGGCGAGAGCGCGGGCAGCACTGCAAATGCCCAGCTCAGTGATCTGCGCCTGATCAAGCTGGCGGAGCTGAGAAGCAAACTTGTAGTAGTCAGCGTCATGTAACAGATGCCTGCTGTAGCAGACTCACCTGGTCTTTCTCCAATGCCGGCGTTGCCACCACGTTCGAGAGCTTGCCATCGTTCACGAGGCCGCCGGTAAGG